TTGAGCTTTCCGATTTCCAATTCATAGAACACTTTTCCTTCACAGCTTCAGTTTCTCTTGTTCTTTAAACAATCTTTGAATATTTGGGAGTAAATTGTCAGAGTGCTATGAAAGGAAGTCCAAAATATGTACTGAGAAAACGCAGTCAGACCCATGTAGATTTTCCATCTGAGAACAGTAATTGGTACTGAAGAATGAACATCTATCTCTGACAGGGTGGATTGTAAGCAGGTCTTCTCCCTCAGTAATGGTCCCTGGTACTTACATTATCAGGGTCTGCAGGGAGAGAGTGCCCCTTATTATTGAGCTGTGCTTTATTCAGAGTGTGTAAATGAAGTGAGGCATGAATATAGTGATCAAGGACCCAAAATTTTTTATATGTGCTATCTTAAATTCATGGTTGGTGCAACCAAGGTTGGTGACTAAAAAAAATGATCATCTTTTTGTATATTCATTATATTGCTTTATAAATTATTTGCCTCTGATTAATAATATATTAGCAATATTTCATCATGGCAATTATACTTATGTGTATAATCTTAGTGGCTGAATTCCCTTTCATTAAATGAATACACCATAATTTATTTAAATGATTGTTGTACAATTCCACTGTTACATATTTTTTCAGTATTTTAAGCAGTACTTCACTACACAGCTGGCTACTCTTACTCAATTTGTTTCTTACGAAAAAGTATCTTGAAGTACAGTGGATCAGTTAAACAGGCAAAAAAAAAAAATCACTTTCTAATTTTCCCTTTTTTTCCTCCTTATTCCTTCTTATTGGTGAGGTTGAATATATTTTTTTTACTGGCCATATAGTTACTCTTTTGAATTTTCTGTAGTGGTCCTCTGCCCATTTTCTGTTAGATTATTTATTTTTAATTCATTTTATGGGGACTCTTTGCATGTTAAGAATATTAACCCCCAGGCCACCTGGGTGGCTCATTTGGTTAAACATCTAAGTTTGGCTCAGGTCATGATCTCCCAAGTCCTGGGATGGAGCCCACATCTGGCTCCCCGCTCAGCAAGGAGTGCTTGTCCCTCTCCCTCTGCCCTTCCCTCCTACTTATGTGCGTGTGTGCGCTCTCTCTTTCTCTCTCTTTCAATAAATAAAATCTTAAAAAAAAAAAATTAAACCCTTTTATCACTAGCTTGTCATTTGCTTTTTTTAGTGTGAGCAGCCTTATTGAAGTATAATTGACATGCAATATATTTAAAATGTACATTTTGATAAGTGTAGACATATTTAAACACTTGTGAGACCATCATCTCAATGAAGATAATGAACATATCCATCATCTCTAAGTTACTTTGTGCTCCTTTGAAATCTCTCCCTACCTCCTCTGTCCCCCAATCAATCCCTACAAATTAATTTCCATTTTCTAGAATTGTATATAAGTGAGACCATTTATACCATGTACTCTCTTTTTGTCTGGCTTCTGTCACTCATAATTACTTTGAAACTTATCTATTTTAGATTTTATCAGTAGTTCATCCTTTTTATTTCTGAGTATTGTTTCATTTTATGATAGATCACAGTTTGTTTTTCTCTGTCCACCTGTTGATGGGTGTCGGGATTGTACCCAGCTTTTAGCTATTAGAAATAAGCTGCTAAGAATATGCATCTACAAGTCTTTGTATAAACATGTGCTTTCATTTCTTCTGAAGAAATTCCTAAGAGTAGAAGCGCTGTATCCAATTGCAGTTGTCCATTTAACTTCTTAAGAAGCTGCCCAACTGTTTTTAAAAGTGGTCAGGCCATTTAACCTTCCTACCAGCAGTGTGAAGGTTTCAGTATCTCCATAGCCTTGCTAAATTTGAAGTGGTCAGTCTTTTTCATTTTAGCCCCTCTCATAGGTGTACAGTGCTATTTCACAGTGCTTTGAATTTGTTTATCTTTAGTGACTAATGATGTTGAGCCATCTTTTCGTGTACATATTTGCCATCCATTTATCTTCTTCAGTGAAGTGTCTGTTCAGATTTTTTGCCCATTTTTTAATTGGCTTGTTTGTTTCTATTGACTTTTAATTAAGAGTTAGGTTTTCTCTATGCAAGCGGTGCTCAATTAGATACATGATTTGCAAACATTTCCCCCAGCCTTTGTCTTGTCTTCTAATTGCTTTCTTAACAGTTTTCAAGAACAAATGTTTGAAATTTTGATGAAGTCCAAAATTACCAATTTTTTTCTTATATGGATTTTTGGTTTTGTATCTACACATCTTTGCCTAATCCAAGCTCACAAAAAATACTCTCCTGTGTGTTCTATGAAGGTCTCTTATGGGGATGCCTGGGTGGCTCAGTCGGTTAAGCATCTGCCTTCGGCTCAGATCATGATCCCAGGGTCCTGGGATCGAGTCCCGCAACGGGCTCCCTGCTCAGCCGGGAGACTGCTTCTCCTGCTCTCTCTGCTGCTCCCTCTGCTTGTGCTCTCTGTCAAATAAATAAAATCTTTAAAAAAAAAAAAAGATTTAAAAGAAATTCTCTTATGGTTTTACATTAGATTCATTTTGAGTTATTTTTTTGTACATGGTATAGTGTTTAGATTCTTTTTTGAGTTATTTAGATTCATTTTAAGTTATTTTACATTTAGATTCATTTTGAGTTATTTTTTATACATGGTATAAAGTATGTATCAAAGTTCGTTTACTCACATAAGAATATCCAATTGTTCTAGCACTATTTGTTGAAAAGATTGTCTTTTTTACATGGAATTCCTTTTACACCTTGTCCATACATGCTAGACTCTTTTCTCTTAATCTGTTTATCTTTATGCCAATAATGAAGTGTCTTGATTACTGTAGCTTTATAGTAAGACTTGAAGTCAAGTTGTTTAAGTCCCCTTTGTTTTTTTCAAAGTTGTTTTAACTCTTCTAAGTTCTTTGCATTTCCATGTGGATTTTAGAATTTCACAATTTCTCCAAAAGTGACCTACTGGAATTTTGAGTGGGATTACACTGAATGTACAGGTCATTTGAGGAGAACTGATGTTTTAACAATATTGATTTTTCTAACGATGAACATAATATATCTCTTTATTTTAGGTTCTTCTTCAGTTTCTCTCAGCAGTTTTGTAGTTTTCAATATGCATGTCTTTCACATCTTTTTAAAAAAAAAAAAAAAAACAAGTGGGTGGGAGGGACAGAGAGGGAAGCAGACTTCCTGATGAGCAGGGAGCCCAATTCAGGACTCTATCCCAGGACCCTGGGATCATGATCTGAGCCGAAGGCAGACACTTAACCGACTGAGTCCAGGCGCCCTCGCATCTTTCATCACTTTTCCCCAAAGTATGAAATATTTTTACAGCATTGTAAATGACATTTTTAAAAAATTTCAGTTTCTAACTATTTGTTACGTGAATATAGAAATAGTTATTTCTGTATGCTGATCTTGTATCTTGGAACCTTGCCTAAAGTTGATTATGAGTTCTAATGGCTTATTGTTTAGATTCCATTCAGATTTTTTACACAAAGTAGGGCCAGGACCTGAGATCGAGCAAGTCTCTCCTTAAATTTTCTTCCTCATGTACTTCACTTGCCTCACTGTCATCTTAGCTCTGCATAGACGATTCTGTCTGTAAAGAAAGACAGTTTTATTTCTTCCTTTTATACATTCTTTTTTTTTTTTTCCTTTTATACATTCTATCTGCTTTTTGGTAGTGTCAAGCAGGAGGGCAAATCTGGTCCTTTTTACTCTTAGTTTGGCCAGAGAGAGAAGAACTATATTACTTGTCATTTGCTTTTTAATTTTGATTATGATAGTTTTTTATTTTAATGAAGACTCTATAAATGTTTATGTAGCAAAATCTGTCCATCTTTTATGTTGACAATTCTTAACATTTTCTGACTCATGCAGTCCTTTGACAAATAATCTGATAAAAGTTATGGATCTGATTTCCAGAAACATTTATACACATTCATATTTCTGTATGTAACTTTAGTAGTACACAGAATCCCTGAAGGCTGGTCTATTGAGTCCCTGTTACAAATCTTGATTATATCAGTTACTCTTCATGTTATATTTAGAAAGGCCTTCTATTTAAAAGTATATAATTAAGGAAATACTTTTTAAATGATCACGGTATATTTTTTCTCCTTTGTATATTCAAACGGGTGCTTACAGATTTTCAAATGCCTTAATTTTAAATGATCAAATGAGATAACATATGTGAAAGCCTTCTAAAACCATGAAGTGCAGTATATATACCATTGTCCTTGTCATCATCATCATCATCAAAAACATTCACCCTTTTGACCATCTATTCCAGCCTGAGGATTAAAGCCAAAGAAAGAATTACTTTAAGAAATAATTTGAACTGTGAAAGTACTCCTACACACATGGTCTGTAATGAGGGAAAACAGAAAACATTGTAAATATTCAGTAATAGGAGAATGCATGAATAAATAATAGTGCTTCATTAGATGAGACGTTGTAAAGGATTTAAAAATGGTAATTACATAGTAATAAACATATGAAAGATGTCTGTATTTAAATTGAAAAACTTTACATTGTATTCCTATTATGGTATCTTGCGTAAAATGTACATATGCATAAAGATTAAGAGGGATATAGAAATATGAAAACAGTTGTTTTAGGGAGATGGGTTTGTAAATAATTATTTTTATTATTCTTGCCTTTCCTTTAATTCTACTCTGTATGCCTTTGAGTTTTTATATTAAACGTTTTCTGTATACATATATTTAAAGTTAGGCTCCCATCCCAGTTTGTTGTTTACCAGACTGAGAGATTGCCATGGCCTTCAAGGCTCAATTATAATACTGCCTGACATAAATTATCTGTGAAATTATTTTTTTCCTTTTTTATGTTTTTATAGTATTTAAAAACTTCACATTTTGTCAGTCATGTTGTCTTATTATTACCCAGTTTTTAAAATGTATTATGTAGTTCCTGATCATTTATTTAATGCTACAGTTTCATGGCTTAATTATTTCATTGTGCCTTTGTTGTGTTGACTTGAACTAATTACAGATTTATTTTTCCAGTTGCCCAGCAAGAGGCTGAAATGTTCAAGCGCTACAATGGAACATTTCCATTACCTGGAATACACCAAAGTCAAGATGCTTTATGCACCTGTCCTAAACTGCCTCATCAAGGCTCTTTTCAGATTGATGACTATGTCCACTCTGAACATTCTTCAATGAAGATGCAGCAAGTGAAACAGAGACTCGATTCTGTCACAGTATGTTTAATGATTTTATGCAGTTGAGAAGTTGGAAATTTTAAAACCATTTTGATTCTGTTTTACATTGCCGTGCCAATAAATATTAATTCAACAAAGTAAGTCAGTTATTTAAAAATAGACTTTCTTGTGCTTTTATAGTTCCTTTGTGGTGTTTATTCTAACATCACTCACTGCAGTAAATAGACCAATTTAGGATAATCTACAGGCTTTCCTGACCTGATATGCCTGTAAAAACCAACCCAAGACCTGTTTTGCTGTTTAAAAATGGAAGTGTGTGTATGTGTGCATATGTACAACACACACAAACACAACCCACACCAACCTGGGAAAATATTTACATAAAATATGTTAGGTTCAGCCTCCTTAATGTGCAAAACTAAACAATAAAGAAAAATAGACCTCCACAAAGAAATGGATAAAATTAATAAGCATGTACCTCCAAAAAGAAGACACAAATGTTCCTTAAGCATATTTAAAAGGTCTGTTATCTCACTACAAGAAAAAAAGTGCCGTAAAAACCAGGTATTGCTCAAAAATGGAAAATAGATTATGAAAATGAGGAGGATGCTTAGTTAAAAATATTGTGCTATTTATTCTGTTATAAATTTCTACACAGTCTTTCTCAAAGATAAGATGTATTGAGAAGCTTAAATATCCTTAAAAATATTTATGCTCTTTGACCATAATAGTTCTTTTAGTTAGAGTTAGCCTTGAGCTCCTTGAAGACAGGGACTGTGCAGACTTGTTCCTTGTTGTGTTCTCACCTTTTGGCACAGTGCCTGGCACTTAATAAATATTATCCCTTTCTCTCCTCCTTTGATAGGAATCTTGACCAGTTTTAAACCAAACATATCAGGAGCTACACTGAGGCACCTTTAGTTATGACTGTACTTACTTTCTCTCCTTTTCTTTCTTGAGAAAATTAGAATTTCAGGTATATCAGACTGTAGGTTTAGTTGGAATATAGGAGAAATATTTTATTCTTCTCAGTATAAATTTTAGAATATATATTATAAATTAAGAAGTTTATTTCAGTGTTATAATTCTGTGTATTTTAACATTTTATTTTATTTTTTTTGATTGAATTATGTATGGTGTTCCAGATTATAAAAGGAATAGATAAATTGAGTTTTGAAAATTAGAGAAAAATGTTTCTTCACTAGGAAAAAAAAAAAAGAAGTGTCCCTTGTCTAAAATTTTACATGACAAAATGACTTTGCAGATTTAAGAGAAACTGACTCATAGATAAATAAAAGAACAGGTTTCCTACAATCTGTTGATCTTCAGACAGTAAAACTTAACATCCTGGAATCAACTCAGTCTTGTAGCTTTTCTTTTCCATCATCTTACATAGCTGTCATCTTCAGATAAATGGAAGGATATATGAACAAAAGAAAGCGGATGTAAAGGAAATATCAGAAAGGTATTTTTTAAGATATGAAATCAAAGGCATGGGGAAGCACATTGGTAATTTATTATAAGAGAAAAATTTATTTCTCTTAGAATCATTAATTTATTTAGCTTTTACCACATCTTTTTAAAAATTATTTGGAGTTTCTGTTTGCATTGGGATTGAGGTAGATCAAAGCTGCCTTTGGAAATGAAAGCTTTGTTTGCTGTGTTTTTGAAAAACCATATTTTTCCCATGTTGAGACAATTCACTGAACTTTTTTTCAAATGTTATCTGCAGTGGTTTTTTTTCATAATGTATATAGTATGTATGGAGATAAAAAACAAAAAGTCATCTTTATTCCCATGGCAGCTCTATTCTTTTTATATTTTACAAACATTTAGGTTGACTCGATTTTTACCTTTTGTCACAATGCCTTTTTCTTGTTTCCTATAATTTATTTTGGTAGATCCCCAATTTTTTTTTGTCAGGTTATTACTTAATCCATTGAAGACTATAACATTGGTATTCTGCAGAGAAGTGTGATAGAGAAGACTTGATTACTTCTATATTATAGAAGACTGTATTACTGGAGATACTTCTTTCTTTGTAACCACAATAAGAATTTTTTGAATAAGGGGCGCCTGGGTGGCTCAGTTGTTAAGCGTCTGCCTTCGGCTCAGGTCATGGTCCCAGGGTCCTGGGATCAAGCCCCGCATCGGGCTCCCCGCTCAGCGGGAGGTCTGCTTCTCCCTCTCCCACTCCCCCTGCTTGTGTTCCCCCTCTCACTGTGTCTCTCTCTGTCAAATAAATAAATAAAAATCTTTAAAAAAAAAAAAATTTTTTTTTAAATAAAATATAGTGCAAGCTTAGGGTGTGGGTGGGTGTGTGAATTGCATAACCAATTTAATTCAACAGGCGTTTAATAGGCATTTACTCATTAATGAGTAAAGGATACAAAAATAGAGGAGTCTGTGTTCTCTGTAGCTTTACCGTGTAGTCCTTTTGCTGTTTCCTACATAACAGGTTTGACTGTATGTTGCTGCTACAGCAGGTCCCTGGAAGGCATACTGCCGCCCAGATAGGATCTCCTAGCTAGACAGTGTATTGAGAGTATTGACAAAATTCATTCTAAGGTTTTAAAATTTGATCCTCTCAGTGCATCCAGACTTGCTCAGAATCTGGGGTACCTACTAGGAGTAATCAGTCTTACAAAAAGTTGATTTATAAACCTAAAAAACATCTTACAGTGAAAGGTATACCTTTCCAGCTGCCTGCCCACTCAAGACCACTCTCCCTTTTTAAAATTAATCTAAAACCCAGGTTAGTGATTACAGAATTGATTATTAAGCAGAGTCATAGGAATAGGGATTAGATGGGTTGAAGGACATTTTACGCCAGCTTTGAAAAAAAGGTTAATTTTCTCTGCCCTATAGGAGATTTCACCTAATAATGTTTGTTTGGTGGTAACTAACATCTATATAATTACGAGTAATAACGGACGTAATGAATTATGGATAATAACTGACATAATGTGCTAAATGCTTTACATGTTCATCGTATTTAATCCTCAAAACCATCAAATGGTGTGGGTGCTAGCATTACCCCCATTTTACAGAAGGTGAAGCCGAGGTTTCCAGAGCCCATGTGGTATCACCCATGTCACACGGATGGCTGGCACTGGAGCTGAGATTCAGTCCAGGCGGGTAGACTCTCATGCCCAGGCAGTTTCACTTTCTCCTTTTAGGAATCGAATTACTAATATCCTTTAGACACAGTGTCTTTCCCTTAGAAATTTCTGGATAAAAAATTGGTGTTCCTCTTTCAGTTCTCTTTTTTCCTAAACTCTACATTCATCATTACCGTTTTTCTTTTCTCTAGTTCTGCTGTAGGCTGATGATACATGCTAGCTAACCTTTTTTGGACTTGAGTATTTTTTGTGTCTCCTTAGCAGCAAATTTTCAAATCATTCCTTATGTGTTGACTTTTACTAGTTTCTTTTTCAGAAGTGATCCTCTCTTGGCCTTGTCCCATGAATTATAGGCAGTTCCTTTCTGTAGCTCTTTCTTTTTTTTTTTTTTAATTTTTTTTTTTTTAAGATTTTATTTATTTATCTTAGAGAGAGAGACTGAGAGAGAGAGAGCATGAGAGGGGAGAGGGTCGGGAGGGTCAGAGGGAGAAGCAGACTCCCTGCCTAGCAGGGAGCCCGATGCGGGACTCGATCCAGGGACTCCAGGATCATGAGCTGAGCCGAAGGCAGTCGCTTCTGTAGCTCTTTCAATACTGATCATATACTTTGCCATTCAGTAGGGTTTATTCTTAGATTTCCTCTGAAATAAATTATTAATGTGGGAATTATATTTGTGGGCATTGTTATTTATGGAGATAGTTATATATGGCAATTAATTCTGGGTGTGTCTTTGAGACATGTTAGTGCTCTGGTAGAATTTTAGCATTTTACCAGTTTATTATTATTAAGTTTGTTATTAAGTTTATTGAGGCCACATGTTTTTCTTGAGGCAGATACATGTGGGCCCTCCACAGTCTTGTTCTCAGTGCCTTTTGCTGCGGCAGGTTAGATTTACTAAGAACACATTGAGTCTCTTTAATTCACAATGCAGTGTGACATGTACAGGGTGAGGGTGATAGACACAGAAACTCTCCCAAATGTTGATTTTGGTTATTAAAAGATTAATATCAGGATATGTTGAGAAGAGTTGATAATTTTATTAAAATGAAATTATGACTATTTCCTTACTTTGTTGTATTTCTTTTAGGAGGTGATACGAGCCTGTGCTGCAAAGGTAAGTAATTTTTATTGGAAGGAAGATAACTTTACAACCGTAGCTTTCACTCTGATGTACCAAAAAATTGAAATGTACCACTCGTACTTTTTAATAGGACTTTTACAAAAGTTAATCAGATGTGTATTTTCCTTATTTGAGCTTGAATTTATCAAGGAATTATCTATAGGAATCTGAGAATTTAGCAAGTACCTTCATATTTTTGAAGATTTAAGAATATTAAGCAATAGGGATATATTTTCAGTAAAGGACCAGCACAGTCATTTGATCCTCTGAGAAAAATATATACGATACTTAATAGGTAAGAGACACCAGTACAGTTCAGTGGATGTATGCTGAGTAAATTGTATAAGCCTTGAAATGCATGCAAGCTGCACAGGAATAGCAATGATACACGGTGCTGATAATGCTCTTGATCATTTATACCAATGTTTCACACTTCTTTTTCCATTTAGCTATGTAGCAATTCTGAGGCACAGATTAGATATTATTGTTATTCCAGTTTTAGAAAGGAGGAAGCTGAGGCTTATTGAAGTTAAGTGATTTGCTCAAGACCCCAAAGTTAGTCTAAAAATAGTAGCATGTAAAAAGGTTTTGATTATTAAACAATTTCAACGAAATTGTATCCGAGATGCTTTCAACACAGCACCTTTCTTCCTTTTACAAGCAAGGTTATTTTATATCCAGCCTTTAATTCAGTCATCAAGAAAATAAATGTTAATTTAAAAGAGTTGGAATGGCATGCCATGTTTGTCCTTCCCTCTTCTTCTGTCCACTCCCAAAATTCAGTTGAATAATTAGACGTTCATTCATTTATGAAATGTAATTATATCTGACACGAGATGAAAGGGTGAGACCTTCAAAAGGGAATTAGAATGGTGTTTGTATGTTCAAAGACTGCTTTATGTAATAGTGCAATGGAAGTATTTTTTTATTCACTAGACATCTACTACCATGTGGCAGGCACTTGGAATACAGAAGTAAGTAGTAGGCTATTGTTTCTTTTCACATGGGGCATCTTATGGAGGGAACATGTCAGAAAACACTGGGCTTACTGAGCTGTCCAGTATCAGTGACCCATTACTTTTTTACATTTTATGTAAGTGAAATCAAATAATATGGGGTCATTTATAACTGGCTTCTTTCACTTAGGATAAGGTTTTCACAATTCCTCCATTTGTTGCATGTTATAAATACTATTTTTTATTACCATATAAGATTCCATTGTATAAATATATTACATTTTGTTTACCCATTCATTAGTTTATAGACATTTGGGTTGTTTCCACTTTGGGGCTATTAGAAATAATGCTACTGTGATCGTGTATGTGCAAGTTTTTGTGTAAGCATATGTTTTCATTTCTCGGGATATATATCAAAGAGTGGAATTGCTGGGACATATGATAACTCTGCATTTAACGTTTTGCAAAACAACTAAACTTACCCCAAGCGGCTGCACCATTTTATATTCCTGCCAGGAAGGTATAAGTGTTCCAGTTTCTCCTCATTCGTGCCACTGTGAATTTTCTCTCTTTTTTAGGAAATAGCTATCCTAGTGGGTAAGAAATGATACCTCATTGTGCTTTTTGATTTCTGTTTCCCTAATGACTAATGGCATTGAACATTTTTGATGTGCCATTTGTGTATCTTATTTGGAGAAATATCTGTTCAAATTCTTTAAAAATTTTTTTTTGTCTTTCTGGGGGTGCCTGGGTGGCTCAGTCGTTAAGCGTCTGCCTTTGGCTCAGGTCATGATCCCGGAGTTTGGGGAATCAAGCCCCACATCGGGCTCCCCGCTCAGCGGGGTGTCTGCTTCTCCCTCTGCCCCTCACCCTGCTCATGTTCTCTCTCTCTCACTCTCTCTGTCTCTCTCTCAAATAAATAAATAAAATTATTAAAAAAAAAAGTTAAAAATATTTTTTTGTCTTTTTAATGTTCACTTTTAAGAGTTCTTTATATGTTCTGGATAGAAGTCTCTTATCAGATGATTTATTCCTCTTCGTGAGTTGTCTTTCCACTTTCTAGATGGTGACCTATAAAACAAAAAGGTTTTAATTTTTATGAAATTCAGTTTATCTATTTTTTTCTTTTGTCACTTTGCTGTGGTGTCATATCTAAGAAACCATTGCCTAACCTGCATTCCAAAGATTTACTTCCTTTTTTAAAAATTTTAATATGTTTAACTCTAACATTTAGGTCTGTGATTATTTTGAGTTCATGTTTTTATGTGTATAATGCAATGTAGAGGTCTGATTTTATCCCATTGCATGTGGCTGTCTAGTTGTCTCAGCACCATTTGTTGAAAAGGCTACTCTTACCCCATTGAATGGTCTGAGCACCATTGTCAAAAGTCTTTAATCTTGAAAGCAGAGTATATTTCTGCAGTTTCTCATCTATTACAACCAGGATAATAAATTTTTACCAGGTATCTAATTTTCTTCTTCCCTGAATCCCAGCTAAAGTTTTATGTTGTTGAAAATTCACTCATTTTTTCTTTTTTTTTTTATAAAGATTTTATTTATTTATTTGACAGAGAAAGACGCAGCGAAAGAGGGAACACAAACGGGGAGTGGGAGAGGGAGAAGCAGACTCCCTGCCGAGCAGGGAGCCCGATGCGGGACTCGATCCAGGGACTCCAGGATCATGACCTGAGCCGAAGGCAGTCGCTTAACCAACTGAGCCACCCAGGCGCCCTCATTTTTTCTATTAACATTATTTAATCCTTGCCTACTAAGGATTGTGTGTGTGTGTGTGTGCGCGCGCGTGCACACACGTGTGCTTGGGCTGCCCCCAAAGTATGCTCCTAAAAGGCCTCTCAAGAGAAACACTTGACAAGGAGTAGGTCCTGCCCTGTAGAAGTCCTCATCTAGAAAGATAACTGGCATGCTGGAGAGCAGAAAGAAGAGCACTGTGTGTAAGTAGTAACAGTGAGCAAGCAAGGGGAAACAGTGTTTGATGGCCAGGTTGGAGAGGTGATCAGGAGATTATGCATGCCTGTTAGCCTGGAAGTGCAGGGGAGGCATAATTTCCTTTCTGTCCAAGGTTCTGTGGCTGGTCTAACAGTTAAATTGACTTAAAAATTAATAAAAGAAAAATAATTATGTACATATGGGAGCCCCACAAAGAAGGAGACTACAAAGCTGCCAGGCAGTTGAGGCTTTTCTACCATCTTTACTGGAGGAAAGGGATAGGGGTCTAGGGGTTCAAAGTGGGACAGCAGTTCAGGGGAAGGTGAGAGGAGGAACTGTTTGGTAAACAAAGGCTTCCCCTCCACTGAGGTGAAAAGTTCTCTCTGGACACAGCTCTCTTCCTAGTAGAGGCCCCTTTTCTAATGTAAATTTCCCTTATTAAAGGGCAGCTTCTATACCTGTTTTCAGAGCTTCTCCAGTATCTGCAGTTTCTCAAAATAATCCTTATGCCAGAGAGGCATATTTGAGGGTGACATGTTCTGCTAAACCTTCAGTAAAGACTTAGATATTGTTTCAATCAGAGAAGCAGTGATGGAGGTATTAAGCTGGGGAGAATGTGAGAATAGATTTTAAAAGGGGAGCAATCCAAGAGGAGTTGGTAGCCTGGACTAAGGATAGTGTAAAAGATAAATGGATACCTATTAAAAATTTTAATAAATAAGTTTATTTGAGCAAAAATTTATTTGAATGGCATAGTCCCAAACTGGAAGTGGTTAGAAGTGCTCCACTGGCAGGAACTGAAGAAAGACTTTTCTAGAGAAAAGGCTGAAGCAAAGCAAGGAGATTATAAATTGACTCTAGTTTAAAGCCTAATCGGCTGTTGGTGATTGGTTGTCCTTAGGTTTCGATTTTGTAACCTTGAGGTGTTTACAGTCTTAGATTTGGGCTTGCTTCTGTAGGCTGTAAGCTCAGCCGCCATGGCATTAGAACTGTGTCAGACTCATGGCCTCATGTTTAACAGTGGCAGTAACGAAGATGCAGGCAGTGGACACATTTGCGATGTATTTTGGAAGTAGATGTAACACAGCTCGGTGATGCATTGGATGTGGTGTAAGTGAAGGAATGCAAAGTCGGTGTCCCTTCCAGCAGGTGTACAGATGCTGGCAGTGGCAGGAGGTAATGAGATGAGGAATGCTGGAGTGGGGGTAGCAATTTTTAGGAGTGGAGTTTTGAATAGGGATATAGTTGTATACTAGGCAATTGGATTTCTGAGTCTTGAGTGCAGGGAGTAAGTCAGGGCTGGTGTTCTCTATTTTTAATCTGTGAAATTGAGTAAGATCAGCTGGGGAGAGACAGCTAAATACCTGAGGCACTCGGCCAGGAAAAGGGGATGTCAGGGAAGCCTGGGGGAGAGTATTTCAAGAAAGAGGAGTGGTAAACTGTCACATGCTACTGAGAGAATGAGTAAAAGAGGATAGAAAATTGAGGATTGTATTTAGCTAGGTGTCCTTTGGTTACCTTGATGAAAACCATTTAAGTGGCACAGTTGAAGTGCGTTGAGGACAAAATGGAAGCCCATAAGTTTTGACCGGGGAGCAGAGAAACAGGACCTGAAGAGGAATCTCAGATGGACAGTATTAAAGCATACTTATTTGCTGATTGGAATAATCCAGTGGAGATGGAGAAGTGGGTAATGTACCATGGAGGTGGTAATTGCAGGACTCAAGTCCTTGAAAAAGTGAAAGAAGTTGTAGTCCTGAATACTAATGGAGACACTGGCCTTAAGAGAAGGGATTTTTCACCCCTTCTGATAGGCATATAGGTAGAAACTGGGTAGATGCTTAGATACAGATGTGATGATGGGAAGCTGAGAGTTCTCATCTGATTGCTCCAAGACAGTAATTGGTATTAGAAGTCTTGCATTGCTCTGAATTGTTATAGCCCTAAAATATCTTCATATGAATTTATAATTTACAAATTTCCTCGCTCTTTCCTTTGCTTGGGGTTGGATTGAAGCCTATCAGAAATGGTATTACCTGGAGTCTATTTTCATTAAGCTTTGTATTCCTCACAAATGGAATTAATTTGTTTTTCTCATGTTCCCAAACATATTTATATTCATTTATATTCATACCTGGCATCATAATTGGTCCCATTCTTCCTTAAATGATAATTAGTTCTGCCTGTCTTTTCCAGAATTAAATTATGAATTCCCTCAAGGAGAAACATCTCTGTCTTTCTGCTTTCTCTCCTTCCTTCCTTCCTTCCTTCCTTCCTTTCTTCCTTCCTTCCTTCCTTCCTTCCTTCCTTTTCGTCCCTGTTTTCCCTCCTTTCCTTCTTTCCCAGCTTTATGTAGTATTGACTCCACCTCTGATCTTATATTTCTGAATTTCTACATTCCTCTGCAGCTTAACGCCATGGAATTCTATTTGTTTTTTTTAATTATTAATATCCCCTACCCTAGATGAATATAAAGGCAGCCACGCTAAAGTTTATTGAATTATATTTAGTAGAACAATGCTATAAAGGTAAGGTAATAACTAAATTATAGTTAAATATATCCTAGAACATATTATTCACTGAAAGGTAAAAAAAATTAAAAAATAGATAATTCAGAGAAGATAATTTTTTAATCTCCTAAAAAAAGTTTGGATATTTGAGATTTTGAGATTTGAGATTTGAATAGAATACCGGTTTGCAGTTTTTTGGAGAGTTTCTTTTTGATAATTTTTAATTTGTTTTTAATGCTCGTAATTATTTCTTCATGTCATTTCAAAACTGTATAAAAGCAAATCAAGTGTTGTTATTTTGACAATATTTGGGAGACTGGCTTGACTGTAGGAGGGTACAGGCCACAGTAGGCCACTGAAATTATGGAATTTCATTCCTGGAAATTTTAGAAAACAGGAAAAACTGCTTGTGATAGGAAAAGCCAATTTTTCCCCCATGTGTCTCCTTTACTCTTGCACTACTATCAGTACTCGAAATACTTCTGGCACCAGATGTGCTGTGGTTTTTCCCACACCAAGCAGCTCTCTGCAATACCAGCTGGGTGTCCCACAATTTGACTCCGTTGTGACACTGTCTACCTGGGGATGGCGGCAGATTGGCAGATCCCACAGGTTAAGGACTCAATCCCACAAGACTTCACCTGCCCCCCTCCCCCAACCTCTACCATTTCCGATGCCAGTTGCAGGTCCAGGTTGTTACCTGTGTTTCTGACCAATCAGGTATAAATAGAAGGTTTCCCATGACAATTCCTCAGGCTCAGTTCACTGGAGCAGCTCACTAAGAACTCGGGAGAACAGTTTACTATTTGCCAGTTTATTATAAAGGATACAGATGAACATCCAGATGGAGAGCTGCACAGGGCAGAGTATGTGGGGAGGGGCCTGGAACTTCCATGCCCTCTGCAGGCACACCACTCTCCCGGCATTCCCACGTGCCACCAGCCAGGAAGCTCTCCAGACCCCATACGGCCGGTAGTTTTATGGAGATTTCTTCAGGTAGGCATGATCAGTTATAATTTCATTTCTAGCCCCTCTCCGCTCTCTGGAAAATGAGGGATGGGCTACAAATTCCAAGCTTCTAATCATGGCGTGGTCTTTCTGGAGAGCAGCTCTCATCCCAGAACACACCAAGAGTCACTTCAGGAGAACAAAAGACATTTCTTTCACCCAGGAAATTCCAAGGTATGTTAAGAGCTCAGTGTCTGGAACCAGAGTCAAAGACCAAATATTAGAACAAAAGATCCTCCTAGTACTTCACTTAGGAAATTACAGGGTTTTAGGAGATCTGTGCCAGGAACTGGAGCTAGAAACCAATATATTTTTTTCTATTATTTCACACACTAATTTCTAGATGTAAATTTGAGTATTAAACCATGTAATTTAATGTGTTCCTTACATTTAAGCCCTTCTCTAATTTTTATCATTAAAAAGTTAGATTTGGGAAGTCTGAAAAACAAAAAGATTTAAAAAAATAGTCCAGGGGCGCCTGGGTGGCTCAGTCGTTAAGCGCCTGCCTTCAGCTCAGGTCATGATCCCAGAGTCCTGGGATCGAGCACCGCATCGGGCTCCCTGCTCAGCAGAGAGCCTGCTTCTCCCTCTCTCTCTGCCTGCCTCTCTGCCTACTTGTGCTCTCTCTGTCTCTCTGTCAAATAAATAAAATCTTTAAAAAAAAAATAGAGAATCCAGAGAAGATAATTTTTTTAATCTCCTAAAACAAGTTTGGATATTTTTATCATGAAGAGGTAAAAAGTAAGTTGAGATTTGAATAGAATAGTGGTTCAACAACAAACACCACCTTAACTTTGGGCAAGATTTTAAACATACTCCTTTCACGTGTATATTAATTCATTTGACCTCTATGCAGTTCTTATTAGTGCTATATGAGTTATATACTAAAGAAAGATGAACAAAAACTGGTTCTTCACTGTCAAGGAGATTATAGTCTGGTGCATGGAGATTAACCAAATAGATAAGCACACTGAAATGTTACCAGTGTTGTGATAATAGAAGATAGAGGATACAAGGCATAGTGGGGAGAGAAAGGAGGGAGACGTAAGTTCTCCTGGGAGAATCTGAAAGGCTTTTCACACATGATGTAATACTTGAGCTAAAGCTTGAAAAAGGAGTTGGCATCCACCAGGAAGATGGAGCCAAAAGGAAAGCCCATTCCTGGAAATGAAGCAGTAAGACCTAAGTCACAGGTTCATGAAACAACCTGGACAGTCTGCAGAGCTACACATATTTTGTTGTAGCTGGAAAGTAGGAAAAGGAGCGATAAGGTTGGAGAGCGAGGTAGTTATTAGAATATAGAAAGCTTTGTATGCCAGGCTAAAAACTATGGACTTTATCTAATGGAACGGCTGATGCTGGGTTTTAACAAGAAATGTTACTCAGTAAAACTAGCATTTTAGAAAGAGCTTGTTAGCCGTGTAGAAGAATTAGAGAAACAGGAAATAGGGAAAACAAATCAGGGGACGATTGCAGTAGTTTGCAAGCAGAGAGGAAGGCCTGACCCACAGCACTGACTGGAGAAAGAGTGGGACCAGATGTCAGAGCATTTAATTGACTTAGTGACTAATTCTCTGTGGAGGGTGAGATGGCAATGTAGGATTCCCACCTTTCTGGCCGGGGCAACTAGGTGGATAGAGAGAGCTTTCCCTGAGGAAGTAAATAGTTGAAGAGAAGTTAGTTTAGTCTTGAACCTAGTGATTGGAAGAGTTTTGGATTTAAGAAACGTCTTGTGATGAGCACTGGGTGTTATTGAACACTACATCAGAAACTACTGATATATGTTGGCTAACAACATAAAAATTAAAAAAAAAAAAAGTCAGCATAGATGGCAGATGAAGTGATGCAAACAAACGTTACTGCCCAGGGGAACCACACAGAGTGAGGGAAGAGAGGGTCCAGTGGGTCTAACAAACAACCCTGATAAGCAGTGGCAGGATAAACCAACAAATAGTTTTCCAGAAACAAGAGGGAGTGATGGGCAGTGTTAGAGATCGCAACCGCTTAAATGAATCTGCTAACTGACCATTTGAAGTCTTGGGTGTGGTGACTTTAATTTCAAATTTAGTCTTCTGGTGGAGAAAAGCATAGTTGTATTTGGTTGAAATTGAATGGTTAAGTTATATGGATAGCAGTTACGTGCTGTTTTTCAAGGAGTTTAGCTTTCAGTGAAGCTTAAGGAAATTATGGAATCGTTGTGAGAATTTTTGATTGTTTGCTATTTGTTTTTATACTGAAGTAGAAAGATCTCTGCTTATATACTATAGGGAAACAGCCAATAGAGCATTTGAAAGTAGAATTTGGAAGCACTTTAGGTATTCCCAAGGGAACAGATGGAGGGATTAATCTTGAACAGAAGGACACTAGAAGAAAAGAGGTTGAGGGTGGATGCAAGAGGTATATTCTTTCATAGGTTTGAAAATGAAGATTTCAGAGGGCTGAAGACCAAATTTTCTCTGTGAAGTAAGGAAATATATTAAGAAAAGAGGCAAAGGTTTGGAGAAAACCAAAATATATTGAGGTTAAATTGACTTTGACTAAGGCATGTTGTTGGATAGGTGGTTTGAACCAGCACCAAATCTTAATTTTAAGCTTTGCACAGGGAATCCTGTTAATCATCTTTGCACTACCAGTCCTTGGTATATATATCAGAGGCTCAAAAAGTCTGGATTAAGTGCTGCAAAATAAAACTTCGTTATAACTGATTCAAATTGGAATTCTGGTTTTTTAGTTCATGTAGCAGTGATGAACTGACTTGGGGGAGATTTTCTGGCACCTCACCCCACTGTAGAAATTTCTCTTCCAATAGGAAGTGTGTTTCTTCCTAATCCCTCACGTCACTGTAGTAATTTATAAGGAAAATATATAGAGACGCAGAGCTCATGTTTGAATTTCTCTTTATGATACCATAGGCTACTCATTTGTTAGGTTTTACTTACCTAGAAATCACAGGAACTTAAGCTGCTTTAAATTTATGGTACGAGAATGTTGATACCTGGCTTCAGTTGCCCTGAATCTCTGGCTCAAGTTTTCTGTTTCACTTGTTCTTTAATTATTGGGATTCTAATTTTTATAACAGAAGTTTGATTTGCAACAGAATGTTTCCTGGGCATTGGGGGTTTTTTTGCAACCAGAACCATCTTCAAATTGAAGTATTATCTGCATTGTTGTTCAATTTTAATGGAAAAAAATAGCCTTCTGGAGGAGGGAGGGAGACAAATTTACAAACATAAGTATATAGACAGTATTATCATCTTTCAGGTTATAATTTAAAACCAATTTGAGATGTCTTCACAGCTTGAAATTTTAAAAACAATTCTACTTTAGGTGAATGTAGCATATAATCTAAAATCAGCGAAGATGATTAGGCTTGCAAATGTATATGAAAATGAATGTTATATATCTCCCAAAGGTTTCATAGTTTAGCTAACCACTAAAAAAGAAACTAATTGTTAGCTTGTTCAGTGTTGTGCACTCAGTTTTAGATCCAGTGACTTTTTTAATATGAAAATAAACCTTCTCAAAAAAAAAAAATTAACCCTCTCTTAGGGAATTAGAATTTGTGTATTTTGTACAAAGCTGCTTCTGCTCTGAAAGAGTAGGCAAAAACATTTTTGTGATTAACGTGACACGAAGTTCAGGTGATACTTTTTCTTTTTTTCTATTATGAATTTCATTAAATTTGTATGCTTTTCATTTTCCCCAGTTTGGAGGTATTAAACTGACTTTGGCAGACTGTGGTTTTTGCATGAAGCAAGCAGAAGAATGTGTTGTGAAAAGAGGGCAGATTCGTGTAGGGTAGACTATCTTAGCCAACCTCTCTGTTGTTGTAAAATTATTAAGCAATTCTTTTCCACAGCATGTATTTCAAAAATAGATATTGCTTCACTCTGTTTAATGGTTATTATTATTTTTCCCCCTCTAAGTAAAGTAGTGCATATGTATAGGCTAGCTCTGAAAATACTTTGAGTGCTAATTTCAAATCACTATAATAATTAACAACTGTCCAAGACCTTTGAAATCTGTGTGTTGTCACTTACCACTTCATAGATATTAGTCTCTCAAGAAATGTGTCAAGAAAGAGCAGAGTTTTAAAAATGCTTAGAAAAAAACTGTGAAGTCTTTCTGTTTGAGCAGAGACATTTAAGTATCCTATTCTAGCTTTCCTGGTGGTGTTTTTGGTTTTAGCACAAGTAAACATCTGAAGAGGAAGATTGAAAAGCCGTGTGTGTGTGTGTGTGTGTCCAAAGCCTATTGTGTGTGTGTGTGTGTCGTTTGTGTGTGTGTGTGTGTGTCCTATTCTAGCTTTCCTGGTGGTGTTTTTGGGTTTAGCACAAGTAAACATCTGAAGAGGAAGACTGAAAAGCCTATTGTGTGTGTGTGTGTCCAAAGCCTATTGTGTGTGTGTGTCCAAAGCCTATTGTGCGTGTGTGTGTCCAAAGCCTATTGTGTGTGTGTCGTGTGTGTTTGTGTCGTTGTGTGTGTGTGTCGTGTGTGTGTGTGTCCCATCCCCAACATAGTGTGTGTGTGTGTGTGTCGTTGTGTGTGTGTGTGTGTGTGTCCTATTCTAGCTTTCCTGGTGGTGTTTTTGGGTTTAGCACAAGTAAACATCTGAAGAGGAAGACTGAAAAGCCTATTGTGTGTGTGTGTGTGTGTCCAAAGCCTATTGTGTGTGTGTGTCCAAAGCCTATTGTGTGTGTGTCCAAAGCCTATTGTGTGTGTGTGTCGTGTGTGTGTGTCGTTGTGTGTGTGTCGTGTGTGTCGTGTGTGTGTGTCGTTGTGTGTGTCGTGTGTGTGTCGTGTGTGTGTGTCATTGTGTGTATGTATGTGTGTGTCCCATCCCCAACATTGTGTGTGTGTGTGTGTCGTTGTGTGTGTGTGTGTGTGTGTCCCATCCCCAGCATACACCTGTTCTTTTGCACCAGGTTTCAAAATGCAGATGATTGTTTGACATGTAGGATAAAAATTTTTAAGAACACAGAAGTAAAACTGAAAATGATTCTAAAAAGAGAAGTGGATTAGATTGTTAAGGGATAAATATATCATTGTATATAGTACTTCCATTTAAAAGCATAGCACTCTGAAATATGTACTGCATCATCATGTTAAATTACATGTTCCTAATTACTCTGACTTCTAGTGATGTTAATAATAGTAACTAATATTTCTATAGAACTTTATTTGTGTAGTAGCCTATGGCTTCCCTTTGCCAACATATTAAGTAGATTTTTTACTTAATACGTTATTTAGTGCTTTATGTATTCGCATATGCGAATGGCACTTTATGATACCAGTCATCTTTATTGTTCCTCCAGCACATTCCCATTGAAGCATACCTACTTTTTAAAATTTTTATTATCTGCGCTTAAAGGTGGAAATAAAGCTCAAAGATATGAGATGATTTCGTTGTTACTTTAGGTATTGTATTAATATAAATAGTCACCATTAATTTTGGTCAGTGTTTAATAATGGATTCTGATAGAATTTTTAAAGCTAGATAGTTTTTTTAGCACTGGTGTGGTATTTGATCCCATCTAACTACTTTGAAAAATATTTGTTTTTTATAAAATGATATCACAACAGTTTACCAGCTTTAGAACTATATTGTCATATGGTCTTAATGAATGGACTTTTTCACCAAATATGTAAAAGCCCTTTGCTTTAAGAGAAAAAGCTTAATCTAAGATACACCATTTACTGTCACTGTTTGAAAGAAGAGAAGCATTTACAAACGTTATGTAAATGATGAGTCAGATAAAGGACATGTAATAACCACAGTCCACTACTATGTAGAGCACCAAAAGGGAATCTTTAAATGCTAATACAGTGGTAGTCCTGAGTGGTTTCGATTATTCTTTAAAAAGAGAGAAGGCAGCTATTTTCATATATTAGTATATATATGCCATAAACTATCCTTTAACAGTTGGCAAGTCACAGATTACATTTTGCAGTAAATTAGAAATTCAAACTTCCAAATTTTTCAGAATTAGATCACATTTTATCATGATTTCTGAAGATGAAGATATTTCAAAAAATAATAAATATATAATGAATAATTTAATAATTGAACAAGAGACTAGATCATTGCCAAAATTAATTCTAAGTTACAAGATAAGTTTACTTATACATTTAAAACTTTTTTGTGACCTGTTGTTGTACTTGTTACAGGTATCATTTTTGGAAGACAGTATTGTATTCAGACAGTCATAGTAAGCTTTTTGTGTTAATAGAGCATCGTATTTACTTACAGAAATTTTGCTTGATCATTGTATCAGTACTGTTTTTAAACAGTGTCTTAAGAATAAGGGTTTTGATGCAATGGGAGCTATTCCACTTGGCAAGTGAGGTTACAGCTCTGTTACCTGGGTCCCCATGATGTATGTAAACATAGATATTATAGGTGTTTTCTGTGCATTCTCTGAAAAGGAAGGACCTGCTGGTTCACAAAATGCTAAAGAAATGTGGCTGTGAAACATTTTAACTTTCTTAATTGAAAGTCGGGGGTGGGATCACTTTTAATTTTCACGTCTTTGCATAACTTGTAAGAACACTCTATTTTAAGTTAATAATGTCAATTCTATGAAAAGCAGATTTGATTTTGTAAGGCAGATGTGCTTTCCTATAGTGATACTTTCGTTACCACTGTACTCATTCCTTGATAAAAACTATTGTTTCGTAAACTTTTAAAACTAAGCATGTAAGTCCTTACCATTTGTTTTGACCTGCCATGTGGCCTGGTTTGCATTGTAAGCAAATATTTCTCATGCAGTTTTTGCATCAGTAACCCAGGAAATTACACTTTGGTTCTGATTTGCCTTTCCTATTACAGGTCAACAAAAATCTCTCGTTTACTTCAACATCAGCCTCCTCACAGCAGTCTAAGTTAAAACAGTCGGACATGCTGGCCGCTCATCAGATTCTACATCAGTTTGGTTTCACTCAGACCGGTGAGCCCCTTTCTTATTTTGAGTATTCTTTTAAATGTTCAGATGATTTTTTTTTTTTAATGAATGTCATTTATTTCACTTCAGGAATATAGCCCATAGCTTTGTAATGATCAGTTTTCACATTTGAATGACGTTCTAGCGTCTTTTTTCTTTATAATCACTAAAGTTATTTCAAAAGTAAATTTGAATTTGGTAACGTTAATAGTGGATACTCTCAAGCTCTATTTTATTGAACAGAAAATAATTTTAAAGTAGCAAAACATGTGAGTTTTAAATCTGTGTAATATTAAATCTGATTCAGTTTCCCTTGGATAAAGGAACCATAGTTGATGGTTAATCCCATTTTATAACTCATTTCAAGAAAAGCCAAGGTAAAATGCATTTGGGAGAAACAGGATACAGCCTGCCAGTGATACCGTTGTTTCTTCAAAGTTGGCAAATTAATAAAATATGCAAAGAAGCTAGTTACAAAAATCTACATAAATCACTGAGTTGAAACGAACAGTACAGTTGCAAATTTTTAGGCTAATGTTTTAAATTTATTTGAATAAGGTTCTCAAAGGACGTCAAAGAAAAAGCATCAAAGTGAGAAACGTATATTTTGGGTAAAGATGACTATTTCTGTTCATTTAGCTGTTTTCACAGTATATTTTCTCTTGAATTCTTTTAGAAAGATAAGACAGCAGAGAACAAAACAATTATCTTTGTCAAAGAGATTATAATAAATTTGAGCTTCAAAAGATCAACATAATTTATTTAGAAATTTGGGGACCATATTACTTTTCTACTTTAAAAGTGTTTGGAGTTTACATACACAAGCTATTTTAATATTATTGTATTTTAATATTGCTGTATAAGTTACACATTACAGAGAGAGCATACTAGGATTAAGAATTCTTATATTCAGTCCTGGCTGTGCCTTTTATTACCCTTATTATCTGAGAACCTTAAATCTTCATTTGAAAGTGGAAATGATGTTTACATTAGATATTGTTGAAGTTCAAGTCACATAGCACATAAGAAAACACTTGGTAAACATAAAGTACCATATGAATATAACATACTTACAAACGTGATGAGTGTATGTATGCTAGCTTTGAACATACTTTCAATTCTAATTGCAAATCACTATAATAATGAAGTTATCCCAAACCTTAGAAATTTTAAATTTCTAGTGTTTCAGATGTGTGTCGGAAGTTGGAACAATGGCTTTGGTCATTCTTATAAACAGTAGAGGGCACACTGTGTGCCACCCCTTTAGACTCCTATTCTCTACACCCTACCTAGATACTTGGTTTGCCTTCAGATCATGTCATTTTAATGACTAGGAGGGAGAGAACCAGTCTCCACCACTTGATTCCTGTCATCTCCCTGTTGAAGTCTAAAATTCTTCTGGGAACAAATCCGTGATTCCACACTTCAGGATCAAAAGCATAGAATGTAAATGTCTGGTTGAGTTAATATATTGATTAAAATTCATTCAAGTAGTGTCTTAAGTTTGTCAGAAAACAAGGTGAAGATAATAGATACAAAATTCTTTCCTATTCCATAAAGGGAAAAATAAGGATATATAGGAAGCCTTTTGAAATGGGAAGAGGGGTTACCACTGAGACAGATAAAGAATAAAGGGAAAGCCAGATATGATAATGGCAAGTCTTACAAACTTCACCATTATGCATAGGCTTTGGTCCATCTCACCTTCAGCTTTCCATGGCCATATAGCTCTTGAGTGTAGCATTTCTATCATGCATGTCTATGTGTGTACACTATCTCGGAAGCACTACCATTAAGCCCTCACTTGACTATTTTAGTTATTAATATGCTTGACCTCATTTTAAGGCATAGCCTTCCTATAAAAGTTGTTGAGATATCACTGTATAGAAAAATTATAAAAGCAGAATATGTAGTTCATTGCAAAATGGCCAAATTAATCCATTTTATTCATTAAGAAGTTTATCTTTGTGGAAAAGAATTATGCAGTAGGAAACAGGTGAGGTAGTTTCTACACCTGGTTCCATTTCTAAATGACTGTAGAATCTTGAGAAATTTTTTCAGGCCTCAGTTTTCTTATCCCTACAGATAAACAAGGGCTCTGGATGTAGTGAGTTTCTGTCTTAAAAATTCTGTGATTCTAGGGGCACCTGGGTGGCTCAGTCAGGTAAGCGTTTGCCTTCAGCTCAGGTCATGATCCCAGGGTCCTGGGATAGAGCTCCATATCGGGCTCTGCTTCTCCCTTTTCCTCTGCCTGCCGCTCCCCCTGCGTGTGCGAGCTCTCTCTCCGTGTCCCTCTCTCTCTCTCTGTCAAATAAACAAAATCTTCAAAAAAAATATTCTGTGATTCTATTCAGTATTCAAATGAGCTTTAAAAAGGGATAAACAGTTCAGTGTTCCTGACTGTACAAGAAATCTATTAGAATCTGAAATACAAGAATCTATATATATTAGAATCTGAAAAATAAGACTGTAAAAACTGGGGCGCCTGGTTGGCTAAGCCGGTTAAGCATCAACTCTTGATTTCTGGTCAGGTTGTGATCTCAGGGTCATGGGATCGAGCCTCCCCCACATCCTGTGGAGCCCCACGTGGGGCTTCATGCTCAACTCTGAGTCTGCTTGTCCCTCTCCCTTTCTGCCCCAACATGTGCATGCAGTCGTGCTTGCTCGCTCTCTAAAATAAATAAAATCTTTAAAAAAAGACTACAAAAACTAATGTAGATAGGATGTTTAAAAATAAAAATCTTACTTGAAAACCTATGTAAATATTTAAGTCATATCTGTAAATGTTTGGCTTTGTACAGTATAAAGAAAAGCTATTTAGGGGCACCTGGGTGGCTCAGTTGTTAAGTGTCTGCCTTCGGCTCAAGTCATGATCCCGGGGTCCTGGGATCGAGCCCCGCATTGGGCTCTCTGCTCTGCGGGAAGCCTGCTTCTCCCTCTCCCATTCCCCCTGCTTGTGTTCCCTCTCTTGCTGTGTCTCTCTCTGTCAAATAAATAAATAAAATCTTTGAAAAAGAAAAGAAAAGCTATTTAGGGGTGCCTGGGTGGCTCAGACAGTTAAGTGTCTGCCTTCGGCTCAGGTCATGATCCCAGGGTCCTGGGATCAAGCCCTGCATCAGGATCCCTGCTCAGTGGGCAGCCTGCTTCTCCCTCTCTTTCTGCCCCTCCCCCTGCTTGTGCTCTCTCACTCGTGCATTCTCTCTCTCAAATAAATAAGTAAAATCTTAAAAAAAAAAAAGAAAAGAAAAGCTATTTGACATAGAGCTAATCAGTATGGGCCCCCTAGCCCTCATGTTAGGAGGCTGAAGAGCACAGGTTGATTTGATATATGTTACGTATGAGTTTCCATGCTGGAAGGCTAGACTCCGAGGCAGGTTTATGGTCTGCAGTAACTTCTGTTAACCCTGATTTGGGGTAAGTTCTAGATGATGGACACTGCTAGAAAAGTAACTTTCTTCCTAGGTTTGCATTCCTCAGAGTTTCTAGAACAGTACCTTTTTTCATTCTACAGTCACTTTAAGTGGCTGCTTTGTTGAAGTTCCTCTCTTAAGGATATGGACTAAATATTACAGTCTCCGCCCTCAAGCAGCCAGTCTGACTAGAGAGAGTGATAAGCATGGAACAAATTCTGTCAGCATGTGATAGATTATAAAATCACAGTATAAACAGAGTGTCACTGGAATAAAGAGGGATAGAGCAACCAAGAGCTGTCTCAGATTTTTTTTTAAAAGATTTATATATTTATTTGAGAGAGTATGTACATGTGCGCACACACTGGGGAAGGGGCAAAGGGAGAGAATCTCAAGCAGACCCCCCCTCCCCCGCTGAGCGCAGAACCCCCTGCAGGGCTCTGCTTCACGACCCATGAGATCATGACCTGAGCTGAAACAGGCGGATGCTCAACTACCTGAGCTACCCAGGCACCCTGAGGTTTCTCAGATTTTATATGTCCAAACAAAACTCATGCCCCAAACCTCTTCTTCAACCTCTACTTTCCTTCCTACACACCAAGGCTTCGTAATCCCAGCACTCTAACCACATTTACCCAGTTGTTCAGGTTGCAGCCGTTTTTTAGTCATGTTTTTCGCCACCATTTCCCTACTTCTACTCTTGTCTCTTACCTTATTCTCCCCATAGCAGC